GATGTTGTGTATCACTTGCTTGATAATGGCGTTAGCATCTACACTGACATGTTGCATCCATTGCAATAAAAGAGTTGTCCATCCATAAAAAATGTTCCTTCTGATTTAACATTGTATTATCCAGTAAGATGATGGTTTCTGTAGCTTAGTACTCACAGTTGAAAAGACCTGTGGTGTGACCCCAATATATATGAATGGCAAGGACCAAATGTCTGCAGGGTTGTGTGAGTGAGTATGGTTTTACACCGTTTTTAGCAATATTCCTGCAATATGGCGTGGGACACCAGAATTGGTTTCACAGATTGTACCCGTGTGGGGATTGAACCTGGTTTTAGAGTGATGAAACTAGGCTACCCCGACAGGGTAGAGAGGGGACCCATCACTTGTATGTATCTGTAACATATGTTATATTTGGGATTACACTTTCTTAGTAAAGTACGCATTGTCGTACTTTTTTTGGGTTGAGTCCCATCCGGGATTCAAACCCACACCCTCAGAGTCAGGCAACTAATCGCCAGTTCACAAAGTCGCCTCACCACTTTCTAAATGACATTGTGTATTAATTGCATCTGTGTCTTGCGTGCAAAGGGAAAGTGCTGGTAAAACATATTTGGATATCTCCCCATCATCAACACGAAGAGTCTGGGTGAAGTAGACTTGCTTGTTTGAGGACCCACCGGGGCTGGGAGATATAGTCAAGTTTGAATTCTGATGTGCTATATTTGATTGGCTTAGCTAATTTTTGTTTTTTCACCACTACAACTCTGTAATCTTAATGCACTCGCTCATTTTATGTTGAGCTCTAGTTCTGGGCCTGTTCTCCAGATTTATGATTGTTGTACAATTATTATAAAGTAAGAAAGGTTAGGAAAGTTATAGAGCTGAGGCTAATTTGTTAAACCAGGACTTGGGGCCTGATCCACTAAGTATTTGTAGCACTTCACTATCGTTAGTCCATGAAAAACAACATAGTTACGTTAGGTCGTAACATAATAACCATTTTGTGGGTCAGGATCTTGGTCCATTTTGTTGCCATGATTCCCTACACCAGAGCTTCCTGTGGGTTGGAACTACTCGGGGTAGGGTGGTACCCTGAAAACATACAGCTTCAAATATTGTTCATTTGAGATTTCTCTTTTGATGTCAACTGAAAATGATCACAGTGTGTATACAATTTTATCAATGATACAGTTCATTGAAGCAGCATATTCACAAGGGTCATTTCCACAGACAGGGGCGGTGGTTAAAGCGTTGGCTTGTCACGCCGAAGACCTGGGTTCGAATCCCAACATGGGCACAATGTGTGAAGCCCATTTCTGGTGTCCCCCTCCGTGATGTTGCTGGAATATTGCTAAAAGCGGCGTAAAACCAAACTCAGTCAGCCAGTCAGTCCACAGACAAGTTAGGTTTGTGAATGAGTTGTTGAAGATTTTAAGCATTATTATAATTTATATATGTTTTTGCCTCATGTCTTTAAAACACTTTTAAGTACAATCCTGTATAAAATGGAAACTACACATAATGTACTTGGCACAAAATCAGAAAACATTTTGTGTTTGTGATAATAAAACACCACTTTTAATACAGATATTGTTTGTCATATCATATAGTGACATGACATGGTTTATATATGGCAAGCAGATGTTTAAATATATCTGGCATATATGAATATCACTATCAAAATGAAAAATATGTCCAAGGACTTTGAGAGAGTCATCTAAAAATATGGCAAGCATTTTGGGAGTGTAATAATGTTTAGTTAATTAGTGCATCTCAAACCACCCAGCCCTGAAATAAATAACTGGTCAATTTATATACAGAGGATACTAAATGACCTTCCCTGTAATGCCAATTTTATTAAACGAGTTAATGATTTGGTATCAAACAAGCTCGTTTGTTACTAAATCTTTCAGGAGTTTAGTAAATATGGTACTTCACGAAAGCGAGTTTAGTATTCTATTTATTACTCTCCAACATAAATTGATAGAAACTGCCTACAGTGTGATGACTGTCATATAAATTTTCCGCGAGTCAAGCAAGGCTAATACCATTGCGACAGAGGCATTAGCATTGTGACGTCATAACTGTAACCATTATGACGTCATATGTCTAGCGGTATTACACTAGTGCAATATTGCCGTAAAAATATTACACTGCAGTATCTTCCACGGGGTAATTAATAGAGGAAACTAAACGACCTGTGTAATACCATTTTTATTAAACGAGTTAATGATTTGGTATCAAACGAGTGAAAGCGAGTTAGATACTTATTCTTTCACGAGTTTAATAAAAATGGTATTTCAAGGAAGCTAGTTTAGTATTCTGTTTATTCCTCTCCAACATAAATTGATAGAAACTGCCTACAGTGTGATGACTCTCAGCTTTCCGCGAGTCAAGCAAGGCTAATACCATTGTGACAGAGGCATTAGCATTGTGACGTCATAACTGTAACCATTATGAAGTCATACGTCTAGCGGTATTACACTAGTGCAATATTGCCGTAAAAATATTACACTGCAGTATCTTCCACCGGCGAGTAATAAATAGAGATTATTACACGAGCAAGTGTGTCATACGACTTATACCAAACGAGTGTGAAATTTTTGTATTGGGAGAGCGAGGGCAATGTATAATTTTGCATGAGTTTCGTATAAGTCATATGACACACTTGCTCGAGTGTAATAATTTCCTAATTATCCATTTTATTCATGTACATTTGTGCAGTAAAACACAGTAAGCAAGTGTGACAGCCCTCTTCAATGACGTCACGTTCAATTGTTTAATGACGTCACAGGCGACGAAATACAAAAACAATGGTTGCTAGGCAAAAGTGATATATGCACATATGATATATATGACACTGGTTATGTTTCACAATATGGGTATTAAATATACATACATGATACTGTATCTGTTATTGGCTGTGGGCAATAAAGGCAATAAATCACTAACTGTTTGTTATATTTTCGTATCCCCTGCTGTAAAATGGGAGGGGGATTTAGGAACTGATGATGCCAATCCATCCTGTTCGTATTGTATCCAGAGCACAACTCGGATGTTGTTAAATACTTATTTTGAAACTTTATATGTATCAAATTCATTCTGAACTGGGCCTTTTGTGATAGTATTTCTGATTTTAGACTGAAATATGTGCAGTGTACGTCTTTTTATCATAAATCGTTTAATATTTTATTCTGAAACTTTAGCTGAATACCTTTGTCAAAGCACTCTCTCGAATGTAATGTTCACAATTTTTAATATCAAAAGCTACTTTCTATATTTATAGTAAGAGAAAGTCGATTTTTACATCATGTTGTACCTTATTTGACCCAACACACTTAAAATTTCCTTTGAATTTCTCCCCATAATAACTGTATATCTGTTCCTGCTGTGATACTACTCGGGTACTGCTATAAGCGGTGTAAAACACAACTCACTCACTCACTCATTCCCAATCAAACGTCCAATGTCAACTGGGTTCATTTCATCCCATTCTTCCTGCAGCGCCAAGTTAGTTGAGAGTGGTCGATAGTTGTTGAAGGTGATGTATGCGACCTGCGCTGTTGCGTTGTCATCCTGAAACACAAAATGACGTCCATGTAGGCGCGTAAATGGCATCACGTGTGAATCCTGGGTGTTGTCTCGGTAGTATTGCCCAGTGAACGCCCGTGAATAAAATGTAAAGGTGTTCTGCCAGTCACAGTGATCCCATTCCCCAAAAGCCACCCCCAAAACGATCAGTATGTCTACGAAAACGCTCATTCCCGTCAACCCAACCTTTCGTTTCAGTCAAAGACGTCAAAATAAACCTTGATTCGTGCGAAAACATAACGCTTGCCCAACGACGATTGGTCCTTCTCTGTCGCTGTTCACACCAACGACGCCTTGCAGTAATGTGACGGTCCGCTAATCGTCGGTTAACACTTGGACGTCGAGCATGTAGGTTCCATCTGTGTAACCTATTACGATTCGTCAGTCCACTCACCCTAACACCTGTAGCTCTGTAAATCTCATCTTCAGTTCGAGAGGCACTTTGAACACGGTTTCGTAACACAGTCGATCTGATGAAACAGCCTTGAGCGCCAGTTGTCGCCCTTGGTCGACCAGACCACCGTCAGTGAAACGTTACGAGCTCGCGCTATAATGCTTTGTCATCCAGCATGTCAATTACGTGACAGACGCATCATGTCAAAAAACACATCATGAAAAATGCATGCATGACATTTCAGTAGAAAGAATGTGTTGTGTCACTCTGTTGCAATCTGAAATATGTATTTACTAAACAAACAAACATACAATGGGAAACAGTCAGAAATTGTATTAGCCGTGCATGGATTTTTATGGATAGAATCATGCTTGACAACGGTACAAGAATCTGTATCGAAACGTCGCACTCACGAATAAAAAAGAAGTTGTTATCCATAAAGTTTGTTCGATATTGGATAGAATAATGTCTGAAGGTAGGTTTTGAGCAATAAGCAGTATGAACTGCGCTCCTGCTATATGAGCCTGACCACCCGATCCCTTTAGTCGCCTCTCACGACAAGCATGGTTTGCTGAAGACCAGTTCTAACCCGGATCTTCACGGGTGATAAACCTCGGGCAAGCGACAAGGGATATTTCCGTGCTCCGTGTTCTGCCGAACGTACTTGCCAGTCACACTTCAGAACCTGACCTCAGATTGCACGGTTACGTGCTTCAGTTGGCGTGTTTTGGATACCAGCATATATAGTGGTGTCATCTATTTCACACAAAAATATCAAGTGTTTCCTACAAAAATAGCGTTGATGACATCGTATCGGCGAAACAGTGGCCGCTCGTAAGATGCGGGTATTTTGTATGGGTTTTCGACGATGAGCCATACTCTTTGCTCCGCACTGCTAGGGAGTGTTGTGATCAGGTGGTTTCCTGTTTATATTTGCCTGTCACCAGCAGACGACTGATCTTACTGAATTTTCGCTTGCTATTTTTTGTTATAAAGGCAACTGATTTTGCATCTAAAGTGGTATTAACGATCTCGGGTAATTAATATTGATGTTTGTTTGTTTTTATATAACTTTACTTCCCGATTTCCATTGTCAATAAAACTTCTCAGGACATCGACTGGGCACCCGCCATACCAGCGAAACTGTTTGTGCACTTCGATCGCACACGTCCTCACCCGATATAGCGCGAGCAGTGCAATCGTCGAAATCACCAGAACGTCGAATTCAGCTCGTGTTGGGACACATTGTGTTAAGGAATATTACCGGTAGGCGAACATCTGGACTTCTTGACATTGTTTGATCGCGTAATTTACATGGACCGGGAATAACTGCTTAACAAACTGACAGATGTCATTACGCCTGGAAAGTTTTGCGCCTGGAGTTCATTCGCAATACTAGCAAAACTTTCCTGCCCGCAAAACTTTGTCGATTTACAGTAAACAGGTTTTGCTATATTTCAAGCTATCAACATGATGTCAAGTCACCCCATCCCTTCACCCAACGTAGTTACCAGCGATCGAGGACAGATTCAGGTAAATCATTTAGTATACATTTTCTGGCACGATGGATGGACATAATTGTAATAAACAGTTTTTATCACATTTAAATACCTGTACGTTTGTTCCTTTTGATTGTCTGGATTAGTTATATCCAAAAATGAGCATGTATTTACAAAACCCAACATCTCTACATATACACACACAATGAGCCGTGAGGGCATGGCAAATGAACCAGCCGTTACACTTGAGTGCACACCCACCCGCTCTGACAAGGTTCGGTATCCCGGGTGCTTCGTTTCGAGGGAAGTAAACCCAAGTACAAAATATTGCACTGTTGATTTGCGGTTGTACGCTTATAATTTTGTTTGTATGTATTTTCATAATCAGCAATGTATATTATATGTCATGAATAAGTGATAATTGTGGTTTAAGAATGTTTGATTTTTTGGTTGCATGTGACCTTTAAGTAAACGTGTAAGAGGTGACTAACGGGATCGGGTGTTGAGGTATATTTAAGTGTTTGTCATAAGGTTCTGAGCTTCACATCCAAATAAGTACGTAACTTAAATATTTTCATACTGACTTTACATGATGCTAATTAAGTAGGCATCTTCCGTGAGCGTTTACATTTAGTGGGGCGGTGGGGTAGTCTAGTGGTTAAAGCGTTGGCTCGTCACGCCGAAGACCCGGGTTCGAATCCCCACATGGGTACAGTGAGTGAAGCCCATTTCTGGTGTCCCCGCCGTGATATAATAATAATAATAATAATAATAATTGATTTATAGAGCGCCTATTTCCAAAAGATATTGCTCAATGGCGCTATGAAAAGAAAAGATTGTAGACAATGTCTATGGAAAAGAGAGTTTGAACAGATGAGTTTTGAGAGCAGTTTTGAAAGCATCAGCAGATTCTATTTCTTTTAGGGTGAGTGGTAGAGTGTTCCAGAGATAGGGGGCTGCAGCAGAGAACGCTCTTGATCCCATGGCTGTTTTGACGTGAGGCTGTGTAAGCAGTAGGGAGTTTGACGAGCGGAGCAATCGGCTTGGAACATGGAGATGAATGAGGCTTTTAAGATATTGAGAAAACATGTTTTCATAGATGCAGCTGTGTGTAAGAAGAAGAAGTTTGTATTGAATTCTGCTTGATACAGGAAGCCAGTGAAGAGTTTGGAGGATAGGTGTCACAGTTTGGTAGCGTGGTGCACGGGCAACAACACGGGCGGCTGAATTCTGAATCCGTTGGAGTTGTGAAAGGAGCTGTTGAGGAATGTTGTAATAGAGGGAGTTGCAGTAATCAAGTTTAGAGAGAACAAGGCTGGTCGTTAGAAGCTGGGCGGTGTTGAAGTCTAAGAGGGTTCGGATCTTGCTAATATTGAAGATATGGTAGAAGCATCCTTTGCTGGAATATTGCTAAAAGCGGCGTAAAACCAAACTCAGTCAGTCAGTCAGTTTACATTTAGTATGACAATGAAGACATTATGGACTTGCTGTGTTCCTGATGCTTCTGACCCGTGAAGATCAGGGGTTAGACTTGATCTTCAGTAACCCATGCTTGTCGTAAGAGGCGACTAAAGGGATAGGGTTATCAGGCTCGCTGACTTGGTTGACACATGTCATCACATCCCAACTGCGTAGATCGATGCTCATGATGTTGATCACTGGATTGTCTGGTCCAGACTCGATATTTTACAGATCGTTGCCATAAAGCTGGAATATTGCTGAGTGCGGCGTAAAACTAAACTCACTCACTCCAGATGCTTCTGACATCTGATTGTCACGTGTTATCACCATAACTGTAAAGACAATCCAGTCACTCTGGAAAGGGTAAAGCCGAGTGGCGGGTTGTGTTAACGACGAAAATTTATTCTGCATTTTAGAGGCAAGACAGAGTGAAATTATGTGTCTGTAATCCTTCAGCATCTTCCATATTCTCCTGATCTGGCTATCTTAGACTTCCATCTGCTTCCAAACACGCATAAGATTCCAGCGGGAACCCATTTCGACTCAAACGATATTAACGTCATAGCGCCTGTGGCAAACGTTTGGGACGGCCAAGACCAATCGCTTCTTCGAAACTGGGACAAAATTCCACCTACACCTTTGGGAACAGTGTATCGAAGTTGAAAGGGATTTTGGTGAAAGATATTTATATGTCTTGAGGTCAGGGCTTTCAGTGTGAGGCTTTGAGGGTTATCAATCACCCCTCGTTTATCACATTCCTAATATTTTTGTTTGAGATGTTTACATGAAACGCATCCGTGATGGATGTTTTCATATATTTGGAATGGTGATATCTTTCACGAGCACTTTATAAGCTTTCCACAACTTAACATATGTTATCTTTAGATGGCTTTATTATAAAAATACACCATACGTGCATCCTTTTTCAACAAATTTTAATTATGTTTTATTTTATGTTTTGTTTAAGATAATCTTTGGACCTATGTTCTCAGGCAAAACGTAAGTGATTTGTTTCGGATTACCGAATTTTACCCGAATTATCTATCTAACCACATTTGCTATTATCCTTTTAATTAGTAATATTTATATCAAATTCGTATAAAACAAATGATCAGCCACAGACAGTTGACAAAGAAAAGAATCAAAGAAACAGTTTGGGTATTTTTATAAACCTTTCTGTCCACGAGAGGATTTCAATCAGCTTTAAGTTATCGTTACGATCTTAACTACTTGACAACATCTACTTGAAACTTTATGAGCATAGGAAACAACAGTGACTTTCAACTTATTAGGCCTCCAATGGATGCCGCCTATTCAGGGAAGTATCGATGGAGAGTAAACGATATGAATGCAAGGATACAATCTCCTGAACCAAATGCCACAATGCATTCCCTGTCCATACTTATTGTTACAGCACCGAGCTAATGAGAAGGATGAAGAGATACATGATAGCTAGCTTCTCATGTATGATCTTGAAATCCGCCAAAGACGACCGGTACGACAAGCACGACATCTCTACACACGACCGGTAACACTGTCCTTGTCTTGAACATTTGTAGCCGTTTTGTCTCATTTAAGAGGACTGACTGACTGAGTTTAGTTTTACGCCGCTTTTAGCAATATTCCAGCAATATCACGGCGGGGGACACCAGAAATGGGCTTAACACATTGTGCCCATCATTTAAGAGGAAATATTTGCTGTTTTTTTTGTGTTTTCTTTTGTTCATAGGTTCTGTTTGTTTGTATATATTTATATTTTAATATATATTGGGGGGAGGGGGTGTATCCAATCTGCCTACACACTCTGCCAAAGTTAATGGTGCCATTATAAACAGCCGTGCCAAAGTCTGGTTTCACCGAAAAATTAAAAGGTCATTTGGCTGCAAACGGTCACCGAGTCACGACAGAAGTTCCGAAACACCCAAATGCATCCCCATGGTATATAACAAAATTACTCATATAGTTTTGTTTTTAAAAATTCCGACCCGTCTTTTTGTTTTGCTAAAATGAAACTAGACACGTTTTCCAGTTCTAACCAATTAGGACGGAAGCACATTCCACAGGAGAAATATGTCTTCAATCGCTTATAAAACCTTCTGCGCCAATGTTTAGAATCATGATGCCCGCCATTGCTGCTTATGAACTGATGTCTCACACGCCTGAGGCTCTGAAGTGTGACGTCATCGGTATTGACGAGGGACAGTTCGTAAGTAAGGGGGATAGAGATGGAAGTTGAGACGAGAGAGAGAGAAGAAAGGGAGAAGAGAGAGAAGAAAGAGAGAGGGTGTGGGGTTGATGGAGAGTGGGGTGGATGCATGCAAAATACTTTCTGCTCTTTCAGCAGGAGCTGAGCAATTAATATTGTATGTCAACACATATGTTTCTAGACAGCAATTTTATAGGTAAAACCTGAGGCAATGCGTTCGTTTTTCAAATCTATTCTCGGACATACTCTTTTCACAAATAATCCAGATCTCGCTTACTAAATATCAAATGGTCGTCCACTACCTGCTTAGAATATTAAGGAGGGTTTGATTCATGTAAATGAGAGAGTTTTATACAAGTTTATTATGACTATATATGAAACCGTCGACATGGAGCCAAGGCTTTCACCAAACGTATCCTAAACAATGGTTAAACAAGTAAGGACATTATGGCAGTCGGTTTAGAAAAACAAAAGCAAAACACGTGAAGATGCAGGTAAGGGTTGAATGAGTTGTTTAATGACAGATGTCAGTCAAGGGTCAAGGTTAAAGTATACATTTATAGGGATGTGATTAGGAGTTATCGAATAACACGGAGCTATAATATGCAGGATGTTTAGCCAACGAGGAATAACAAAGAAAGATGAAAAAGTACTCGCTATGTTAGTAGTTATGTTACCAATGAAGATCCGGGCAAGAATTGATTTTTTTATGACTAATGGGATCAGGTGGTCAGGCTCACTGACTTGGTTGACACATGTCATCGTATCCCAATTGCGAAGATCGATGCTCATGCTGTTGATCACTGGATTGTCTGGTCCAGACTCGAATATTTACAGACCGCCGCCATATAGCTGGAATATTGCTGAGTGCGGCGTTATAAAACAACCAAACAAAACCAAGCTAATTGGAGACAGACACTTGCACTTTGCCATGACAGGTATTTTACAGATATATCATTGGCTGAATCTTAATGACACTACTTTTGACAACGAATGCATTACAATTATGCATGCGCCATAAAGGGAAATACCTGGTGTTTACTGTACTGCTATGTAGATGATATACGCTGGATAATCAAAGATGTTCCAACAGCAATGTGGCACCTTACTTAATTTTGGGGGTGCGGTGGGGTAGCCTAATGGTTAAAGCGTCTGCTCGTCATGAACATGACACTGTTCGTGTCCCCACATGGGTACAATGTGTGAAGCCCATGTGTGACTCTCACATTGAGAAGACGATTTAGTGTGACATATACGCTATCGTATGATTAGTCTACAACACAGTTTCCTTTCAGTTTCCTGACATTGTGGAATTTGCTGACGCCATGGCAGAGAAGGGGAAAATTGTCATTGTGGCAGCACTGGACGCGACATTCCAGAAGAAGGTTAGTTTAGATGGCACCTAAATAGTGACATTTGCATACTTTAACCAGCTTGTCTTTTTAATAGTAGAATTGTTACCGTCATTTCTGAAGACTAGATGATATGTAAGTAAGCGGCTTCTCTAATGTCTAAGAAGGATGTAAGTAAGCGGTGTTTCTAATGACTAGGAAAGATTTACGTGGTTTCTCTAATTACTATGAAGGATGTAAGTAAGCAGTTTCCCAAATGACTAGGAAAGATGTAAGTAAGCGGTTTCTCTAATTACTAGGAAGGATATAGGTAAGCAGTTTCTCTAATTACTAGGAAGGATGTAGGTAAGCGGTTTCTCTAATTACTAGGAAGAATGTAGGTAAGCGGTTTCTCTAATTACTAGGAAGGATGTAAGTAAGCGGTTTCTCTAATTACTAGGAAGAATGTAGGTAAGCGGTTTCTCTAATTACTAGGAAGGATGTCAGTAAGTGGTTTCTCTAATTACTAGGAAGGATGTAGGTAAGCGGTTTCTCTAATTACTAGGAAGGATGTCAGTAAGCGGTTTCTCTAATTACTAGGAAGGATGTCAGTAAGCGGTTTCTCTAATTACTAGGAAGAATGTAGGTAAGCGGTTTCTCTAATTACTAGGAAGGATGTCAGTAAGCGGTTTCTCTAATTACTAGGAAGAATGTAGGTAAGTGGTTTCTCTAATTACTAGGAAGGATGTCAGTAAGTGGTTTCTCTAATTACTAGGAAGGATGTAGGTAAGCGGTTTCTCTAATTACTAGGAAGGATGTAGGTAAGTGGTTTCTCTAATTACTAGGAAGGATGTAGGTAAGTGGTTTCTCTAATTACTAGGAAGGATGTAAGTGGTATATCTAATGACAAGGAAGGAAGTATTTTAGCGGCTTCTCTAACTTACGGCGGGGGACACCACAAATGGGCTTCACACATTGTACCCATGCGGGGAATCGAACCCTGGTTATCGGTGTGACGAGCGAATGCTTTAACCACTAGACTACCTCACCTCCCGCTTCTCTAATGAGGAAGAAGGATGAAGGTAATGAATAGAAACGATGTTACAGGTCTAAGGTAACCAGTATATACAAAGATATGTTTTATCTGACCGGCATATCCAATTACTCTGAATGTTCTAAATGTTCCAGGGTTTCGGAGACATCTTGAATCTTGTGCCGCTAGCTGAACACGTGGTGAAGCTGTCTGCTGTCTGCATGAACTGTTACAACGAGGCGTCGTTTTCAAAGAGGAAAGGGAATGAAACAGAGGTAAGGAGGTATAATATTAACTTTCACCGCCGTACACATATGATATTAATAAGATATAGACAACCAATATACATCTATTTTTTGAATGAGTAAAAACATTTTATAGAATATGCCATGATATATACATGACTAAATAATTCTATCTGTAGTTATTTTGGAAAACAAAAATCAATTTCATCAAATATATATTTTTGACGAAAGTCTTCTTTCCTCATTCTAACATTAATCGCGCCTGCTAAACGCTTGATGATAATCGAGTCTGGACCAGACAATCCAGTGATCAACAGTGTAAGCATCAATCTACGCAATTGGGATCCGATGTCATGTGTCAACCAAGTCAGCGAGTCTGACCACCCTATCCCGTTAGTCGCCTCTTACGACAAGCATGGGTTGCCATCCCGGTTTTTCACGAGTACAAAGAACCAGGCTGTAGAGATAATAACAACAACAAAATAAACAGCATAATTGACTCATCACACATTGGCCAGACCAGGGAGACTATATAAACTTCTTTCTTTCTTGTTGATCTTAGTATTTGACAAAACTGGAAAGGTGTTTACAACGCTTTGTGATAGTTCTAAACTTTCTGTTTTTGAGGGGTTGTTAGATATACCCGTTAGACCTAGCCCTTCTACATGTATTTGAGATATACCTGTTAGAACCACCACCCTCTACGTCTTTATGTATGTTAGATATACCTGTTAGACCTAGCCCTTCTACATGTATTTGAGATATACCTGTTAGAACCACCACCCTCTACACGTCTTTATGTATGTTAGATATACCTGTTAGACCTAGCCCTTCTACATGTATTTGAGATATACCTGTTAGAACCACCACCCCACCCTCTAGACCTTTATGAGTATGTTAGATATATACCTGTTAGACCTAGCCCTTCTACATGTATTTGAGATATACCTGTTAGAACCACCCCTCTACGTCTTTATGTATGTTAGATATACCTGTTAGACCTAGCCCTTCTACATGTATTTGAGATATACCTGTTAGAACCACCACCCTCTACGTCTTTATGTATGTTAGATATACCTGTTAGACCTAGCCCTTCTACATGTATTTGAGATATACCTGTTAGAACCACCACCCTCTACGTCTTTATGTATGTTAGATATACCCGTTAGACCTAGCCCCTCTACATGTATTTGAGATATACCTGTTAGAACCACCACCCTCTACGTCTTTATGTATGTTAGATATACCTGTTAGACCTAGCCCTTCTACATGTATTTGAGATATACCTGTTAGAACCACCACCCTCTACGTCTTTATGTATGTTAGATATACCTGTTAGACCTAGCCCTTCTACATGTATTTGAGATATACCTGTTAGAACCACCACCCTCTACGTCTTTATGTATGTTAGATATACCCGTTAGACCTAGCCCTTCTACATGTATTTGAGATATACCTGTTAGAACCACCACCCTCTACGTCTTTATGTATGTTAGATATACCTGTTAGACCTAGCCCTTCTACATGTATTTGAGATATACCTGTTAGAACCACCACCCTCTACGTCTTTATGTATGTTAGATATACCCGTTAGACCTTGCCCTTCTACATGTATTTGAGATATACCTGTTAGAACCACCACCCTCTACGTCTTTATGTATGTTAGATATGTATGTTAGACCTAGCCCTTCTACATGTATTTGAGATATACCTGTTAGAACCACCACCCTCTACGTCTTTATGTATGTTAGATATACCTGTTAGACCTAGCCCTTCTACATGTATTTGAGATATACCTGTTAGAACCACCACCCTCTACGTCTTTAAGTATGTTAGATATACCCGTTAGACCTAGCCCTTCTACATGTATTTGAGATATACCTGTTAGAACCACCACCCTCTACGTCTTTATGTATGTTAGATATACCTGTTAGACCTAGCCCTTCTACATGTATTTGAGATATACCTGTTAGAACCACCACCCTCTACGTCTTTATGTATGTTAGATATACCCGTTAGACCTAGCCCTTCTACATGTATTTGAGATATACCTGTTAGAACCACCACCCTCTACGTCTTTATGTATGTTAGATATACCTGTTAGACCTAGCCCTTCTACATGTATTTGAGATATACCTGTTAGAAACCACCACCCTCTACGTCTTTATGTATGTTAGATATACCCGTTAGACCTAGCCCTTCTACATGTATTTGAGATATACCTGTTAGAACCACCACCCTCTACGTCTTTATGTATGTTAGATATACCTGTTAGACCTAGCCCTTCTACATGTATTTGAGATATACCTGTTAGAACCACCACCCTCTACGTCTTTATGTATGTTAGATATACCTGTTAGACCTAGCCCTTCTACATGTATTTGAGATATACCTGTTAGAACCACCACCCTCTACGTCTTTATGTATGTTAGATATACCTGTTAGACCTAGCCCTTCTACATGTATTTGAGATATACCTGTTAGAACCACCACCCCCACGTCTTTATGTATGTTAGATATACCCCGTTAGACCTAGCCCTTCTACATGTATTTGAGATATACCTGTTAGAACCACCACCCCTCTACGTCTTTATGTATGTTAGATATACCTGTTAGACCTAGCCCTTCTACATGTATTTGAGATATACCTGTTAGAACCACCACCCTCTACGTCTTTATGTATGTTAGATATAGCCCCCCATGTTAGACCTAGCCCTTCTACATGTATTTGAGATATACCTGTTAGAACCACCACCCCCTACGTCTTTATGTATGTTAGATATACCCTGTTAGACCTAGCCCTTCTACATGTATTTGAGATATACCTGTTAGAACCACCACCCTCTACGTCTTTATGTATGTTAGATATACCTGTTAGACCTAGCCCTTCTACATGTATTTGAGATATACCTGTTAGAACCACCACCCTCTACGTCTTTAAGTATGTTAGATATACCTGTTAGACCTAGCCCTTCTACATGTATTTGAGATATACCTGTTAGAACCACCACCCTCTACGTCTTTATGTATGTTAGATATACCTGTTAGACCTAGCCCTTCTACATGTATTTGAGATATACCTGTTAGAACCACCACCCTCTACGTCTTTATGTATGTTAGATATACCTGTTAGACCTAGCCCTTCTACATGTATTTGAGATATACCTGTTAGAACCACCACCCTCTACGTCTTTATGTATGTTAGATATACCTGTTAGACCTAGCCCTTCTACATGTATTTGAGATATACCTGTTAGAACCACCACCCTCTACGTCTTTATGTATGTTAGATATACCTGTTAGACCTAGCCCTTCTACATGTATTTGAGATATACCTGTTAGAACCACCACCCTCTACGTCTTTATGTATGTTAGATATACCCGTTAGACCTAGCCCTTCTACATGTATTTGAGATATACCTGTTAGAACCACCACCCTCTACGTCTTTATGTATGTTAGATATACCTGTTAGACCTAGCCCTTCTACATGTATTTGAGATATACCTGTTAGAACCACCACCCTCTACGTCTTTAAGTATGTTAGATATAACCTGTTAGACCTAGCCCTTCTACATGTATGTTTGAGATATACCTGTTAGAACCACCACCCTCTACGTCTTTAAGTATGTTAGATATACCAGTTAGACCTAGCCCTTCTACATGTATTTGAGATATACCTGTTAGAACCACCAGAGATATTACATTAATTAGACCTAGCCCTACTTGTATGTAACGCCTTTATGTATGTTAGATATACCTGTTAGACCTAGGCCCTTCTACATGTATTTGAGATATACCTGTTAGAACCACCACCCTCTGACACACTTTATGTATGTTAGATATATGGTGTAGAAAATTCATCTTCCTTTCACCAAATTGGAAATTAGGAATTTTATCCTTTTTTTCAGATAATTTCAATTTAAATGATGGAAATGAATAGGTATATTTTATTGTGGAGGAGAGATGATTCCATAAACAAGCACAATCATATATGAATGACTTTTGAAGAACTGTGGTTCGAAATGTTGGAATAGCCAAATTAGACTTGTTACACAAATTGTATTGAGACATAGTTTCAGTAGATGGTGGATGTAAGTTTGTAAGATAATCAGGCGCTTGCATGTTAACAATTTTGTAACAGGTTCAAAGTTTCTTATATGTATGTCTAACTTATAAAAGTAACCAACTTGTTTTACTATATAAACCAGCTCTTGAAGCGAATTTTGGCAGACTGGTAACAATTTTTGCTGCTTCAAGCTGAACCGTTTGACGTTTGTCACAAATATCTGCGGGACAATAATTTATTACCCCAGACCTCAAAGCAATATTCTAAGACAGGTCTAGCGTACATTTCATATATGTTTGATAGACTATTTCTAGATAGGACGTACTTTAACGATCGTAATGTGGAAACTATTTTAGAGGCCTTTTCTATTACAGCAGTTACATGATGAGACCACTTTGTATTGTCTGATAAGATAACACCAAGATGTTTATGTCGATGTTTATGTACGCACTCCAAATGTTCATTATTGAAGATCAAGTCAGGGAGCACATCGCTCGCGAGAAAATAAAACTCACCGAAACGGAGGACGATGATATGAAACGTCGTATCGAGGAGAGAATAAAAAACTTGGAAGACGAGAGACGGACTTGGTTGGAATCCGCTTCCTCGAACCGGGAAGCCCTCCGATCCCAGATCAGTCGTGTACGGGAAACCATCGATCGAGTCCTAAATGAGGACACCACGCTAGCTGACACGATCCGAATCCTCTTCCGAGAGCAAGGGATTACTATCGCCAGCATTCTGACTGCATTGGGCTTCATCATATCAACCCTGGTGGTGTCATTGACGCCTGCCGGAGGCAGTGGTACGCCAACACCAACACCCACAAGTGGTGGTGGCGTCAGAGACTGGATAAAAAAAAACACCTGAAATCCCTCGGGGAGGCCCTGGCTAAACTGGCTGGTAAGGCCGCCGAAGCCCTGCCCGGCATCCTGGGTAGCATCGTCTCGTGGCTGCTGAGCG